TGGAAGACTCACAATTTCTGATTTCAAACGTAGCTACAGTATCAAAGAATGTGGTATCAAAGAATGAGAAAACAAGCCACAGATTGGGAGACAATATTTGTGAAAGATATATCTGACCAAGGACTGTTATCCTAAATTTATAAATAAGGAACTCTTAAAACTCAACAGTAAGAAAATGAACAAACAACCTGATTAAAAATGGACAAATTACTTGAATGGAGATCTCACAAAGAAGATATACAGATGGCAAATTAAGCATATGAAACGATGCTCCACATAATATATCATTAGGGAATTGCAAATTTAAATATATGTGTATCAGAATTGCCCAAATCCAAAACAATGACAACACTAAATGCTGATGAGGATATGGAGCAAAGGAAACTCTAATTCTTTGCTGGTGGAAATGCACAATGGTTCAACCACTTTGGAAGACAGTTTGGTGGTTTCTTTCAGAACTAAGAATGCTCTTACCATATGATCCAGCAATCACTCTTCTTAGTATTTACTCAAATGAATTGGAAACTTATGTTTACACAAAATCTTGCATATGACTGTTTATAGCAGCTTTATTCATAAGGTAAGTAGATAAACTATAGTGCATCTAAACAATGGAATATTATTCAGTGCTAAAAAGAAATGAACTATCAAGCCATGAAAAGACAAGGAGGGAGCTTACATGCTTACATGCGTCTTACTAAGTCAGAGAAGCCATAAATAATATTTTATTTTGCCTTATTTACCATTTTGTTATAGAAATTTTTATATGCAAAACAGATAGAATAATCTACATGTACCCATCACCCAACTTCAACAGTTAATCAACATTTTGGTTCTTCTTCATTCATTTCCCCTACCTTTTTGGGGAAAGTGTCTTAAGTATTTTAAAGCAAATTATAGACATCATATAATTTTACCTGTAAATACATTAGTATGTATATTTATGAGTTAAGTATTTTAAAGAATGACCTCCTACTGTTTTTATACCTAAAAAATTAATAATTCCTTATTGTTTAATTTTCCTCCATTGTCTCAGAACTGTCTTTTCACAATCAGTTTGTCTAAAACAAGATCCAAACAAGGAGTACACATTGAATGTGATTATGTCTCTTAAGCCTCTTTTATGCAACAATAGTACTTACCTTTTTAAAAAATATATGTTATTTATTGAAGAAACAAGAAATTACTCACATTCTGAATTTGGCTTATTACATCATTGGGTATTGTTTAGCATGTCTCCCTATCACCCATTTTTCCTGTAGAATGATAGTTGGATCTTGTAACTGGATTAGATTCAGGTTCAATTTGGTTTTCTTATTTTGCAATGATATCTCATAGGTGGTGCTTTGTACTTTGTATTATATCACATCAAGAGGTACGTAAAGTCTTTTTCATGAGTGATGTTAGAATGATCTTTAGGTTCAGGTATTATCAATCTGATCATAAGTTTCCCTACCTAAAGCAGTGCTTCTCAATCCTCTTCTATACAGTAGTATCACTTGAAGATATCTGACCAAATAAATCAGAACCTTTGGGGGTTAGAACCCAGGCAGCAGTATTCCTTACAAGTTTCCCCAAGAAATTCTAATGGTCGCCTAAGGTTGAGAAATACCAGCGTAATTATTTTAGTAGCTATAATGATTGTTACCTAGATCCATGAGACTGCAAAATGGTGATTTTTTGATTTGATATTCCTTCATTCAATAGCTGGAATTCTTTTAGGAAGAAAAACTTTCCCTCATCAACTATTTGATTACTCTGAAATTCAGAAGGGAAAGATCAACTCTTGATTCTTTCCATATATCAATCAATCAATCTTGTTTTGTTTTAGGAATATCGTTATGAACAAGTGGGTTTTTATATATTTGTTATGTTTTAATACCTTGCAGTCATTATTTATTGTATCTTTTAATGCTCAAATTTTCTGGGTTTTTTTGGGGGGGCGAGGGGAGGTCCAGTTGGCTATACCTTTGCTCCTATGTCCTTGATCTTTGATTTGATAGCTTTTTTGATCTCTAGCACAATATGTCCCAGACTGATCTTGTACCTTATTTATACCAGAACTGAAATCAAGCATTTTACCCAAATAACTAAGCTTCTTTTACTGAAAATGATATTTAAGAAATATCAAATTGAATAATAGGGATGCTATTGCTACTGAATTAACAGGGTATCTAGGTCTTTTCAATTAAAATATGTATTTTGTGAGAAAATTTGAGTTTATATTGCTATTTCAGAATAAATATAATATTGTAGAATTTCAAATGAAGTTCTTTGATTTTATATGCCTAGTATCCTTTTCCCCTAAATATCTTGGTTCATAATGGTAATAAATTTATAACTTATTTGCTTTACCCTACCAAACGTTTTTTTTTTCTGATATATATACACATATATACATGAAGAGAATGTATTTCAAAACAATATCAATAGATTTAAAGCTGCAATAACAATAAAATTACTAAACACATTTTAAGATTTATTTGTTTTCTTTTTCTTCATAAGTCGTATCTTACCAGGAAGGTACAATAAAAATATCAGATTTAAATGACCTTGAAATAATTTTTCTCTGTATTTAAGATACCTACAACTTGATATAAATTTTGGTTTATTTGCTGTCAATTTTTAGAGATTACTTTCTAAAAATATAAATATAAAATATTAATATGGCTTCAAAGTCAAAATTTTTAGATTTGCCTTTTTAAAAAAATTATCAGTTTTTTTGCCTTTTAAACCATAATACAGGGTACACTTTGAGAAGTCTAGCTTCCCTTCCTTTCTCCTTTCCTCATCCTTCTCTCCTCCTGTAGGTAACCATTTTAACTAGATTTCATTTTACCTTTACGGTCTTTCTTTTTTAAAATTAAAGCAAAATGTACATGTATGTGTGTATTTACCAATACATTATTAAATGTAATGTCTTATAAGGCTAACTAATCATACACTGAAAGTGTTTCTAGTTTCCAAAGTACTCAATATACATCCTTTCCCAAGTTCCTTATGACAAACCTTTTAAGTTGACAGAACAGGCAATATTATCCCCATTTTATATCAGGAGGCCCTAAGGCTCAAATAACTTAAGATTTACTTAAGATTACTGGGTTTGTAAGTGGCACAGCCGGAACTAGTACCCAGGCAGTGTTCCATGATGGGTAGGAGAACAAGTTCTGGAGTCAGATTGCCTGATTCTGTTCTACTACTTACTAATTATATGACTTTGAGCAAGTTGCTTAATCTCTTAAATGCTCCGTTTCCTCATTGGTAAAGTGGAGGTATTATAGTATCTATTTCATAGAGTGATTCTAAGGAATATTTAAGATAACATATATACTCCTCAGCCACTATCTAGAAAACAATAAATGCTTATTACCTGCTGGCTAATATTATTATTATGATAATTCTATTTGATGCTTTCCCCACTACACTATGATGCTTTTATAGTTAATCATTTTCATCAATATAACCTTCTAGGATTATCCTTGTCTTATTTGATCTTTTTTGTTCTCTGGATATAGCACTAATGTTTTTTTAATACACCAATATAGCCATGTGATGTTTGCATTTTAGACTTTACCACAAGCCTAGCATATACCTAGATTTCAGACCTTTTTAACAAATTTTCCACCAAGCCTTTCAATGTATCTTGCCTACATTCAGTCCAGAAAAAAAATAGTGGTTGAATTGTTTCCGAACGTGAATGCTTGGTGGAAGAGCAGCTTTGAGCACCCCCTGTAAATTCAGTGCATGGAGAGACCTGAAGGTAGAACAAGTACCGGAGCTAAGTCATAGTCACCGGAAGCACAGTTGTTCAGGACATGGATATTACATTAAAAATGCCTGAATGAGGATGTGGCAGTAGGAATGGGAACCTGATACGTTTGAGAAACTTTGCCTCATATTTGTGGTATTTAACATGTCAAGGTCCCTAGCACTTGGAGATTTGGGGGTGAGACACCAAACCACTGAATATAACCATATTTTAAACGAGTTTGAGATGATAGTCTAGTATGTTGATCAGGCTTATGGTTTTAAAGGGAAGGAAACAAAATTGACTTTTTTCTTTAATGTGGAAGCATGAAATGAAACACCTACCTTGTCATGGGTTTTGCTAATGAGAGTAATCATGTTTGCATTATCTGTCGCTAGATGGAGTCCATGAGCCCAGGGAAGTCTTGTTTGGACTTTTCTATGTACCTCTTTCTACTGGTTTCTGTACCGTGCATTTGAAAGGAAGAAGTAATGCTTTAAAAGAAAAAAATAGTTTTTTGTGTTTTTTTTTGATACATGAATTTGAATGTCAGGATTTTTAGATTTGCCTTTTAAAAAATTATCAGTGTTTTTGCCTTTTAAAAAAAAAATCATCATAATGACATTTTCAATTCTTCACATTCCTGCCCTCCACAAATATTTTTAGAAAAGATCTTTAAAAACCACAATTTAATATCAGTTCTAAATCTTTCTGGTAAAATCTAATAATTTACTTTATTACTGAATGTCAATTAAAAAGTTAAGTCGTTATCCTCTGTTTCAGGGTTTCTTCCCCAAGAGTTCTTGAGTGCAACCCCATTACACATTTTCCCTTCAGAAGCTTCGTTTCAGATATTCATAAGGACAATTGTTGCCCTGCCTCCTAAGTGTCAGTTTTCAAAAGAGCACAACAGGTGCCTGCATTTCCAAAACCTCCCATGGTGTCAGGTATCATGAGAGAAGGCCCAGATAAGCAATTTTTCTTTATCAAGGCTGTCAAAAAGAAGCCGAAGGCTTATAACAGATAATAGTCTAGTGAGTATGTCAGTCACGAGCTTACTTTGCCATTTATGTCACGTTAGGGCTGAGCAGGAGTAAAAGAGCAAGTGAATATATGATGTGGTAGCAGAAAGTTACCTTGGGAACTTTCCAGCCTCCAATCAAGATGCAGTTAAACCTGATCAGTTAGTCTGTGTGCAAGGCGACGTGTAGGCAAGGTATGATCTAACTCCTTTTTTGTCTTTCTGCTGCAGCACGTGCCCTTACAGCCGGCCTCCCTTTGGCTATGGAAATTTTCCAAGTTCAATGCCAGAATGCCTTGGTTATTATGAAGACAGGTACCAAAAACATGAGGCTATGTTTTCAGCTTTAAACAGAGACTATCCTTTCAGAGACTACCCAGATGAACGCACACACAGTGAAGATTCTCAGAGTTGTGAGAGCACGGATGGGACCTCTTACTATAATAGCCATAGCCACAGTGGGGAAGAATACCTAAACCCCATGCCTCAGCTGGACATCGGAGTCTTGGAGAACGTCTTAACAGCGCCTACCTCAACTCCCTCCAGCATCCAGCAAGTCAATGTCACGGATAGTGATGAGGAGAAAGAAGAAAAAGTGCTCAGGAATTTATAATTTTCAAACAAATATGCACAGAAAATAAACATTTCTTAAAATATATTCTGGGTCAATTGGTGTGAGAAAAAAAAAAAAAAAAAAAGCCTAGAATGCTTTGCTGAGAGTTTTCAGCCATGATTTGAGGAGTCAAACCAAATGCAATGTATGCCTTCATAAAGTTTTTATTAGTGAAACTGGAGTCCTGATGTTTCATCGTAGGACTGTTTAAGATACAAAGTAGTTTCTTTTTATGGCAGAAATTTGCATCAACATATATTTTCATCACTTATCTTGGAACGTGCAAATTACTGAATCCTCACAATTATATGTGAGGAATAAGGGAGTATATATCTGGCATGACAAGTGTGATTTGTATTTTATTTCAGAATACACTTATTTATTTTTCTTATATGATTTTTTGTTTGGTCTTTATGTAATACTTATGGATGTCAATTTTTATGTAACATTTTGAAAATATTTTGATAACTTTTAATAGTGAATTGGGACTCAGTTACTAAATTTCATTTATACTGATAACCAATTATAAGTTGCAAATGTGTTTTAATGTCACCTGGCTAATTCCTTCAGCTAAATTAGTCATTTCTGTTTCTAAACATTTTCATCATCCTTTTTGGATATCTTTTTCCATTTGGTATTCATTGTTCTACTTTTGTTATAATTAAAGAAATATAGATAAAATTGTTCTTGTTGGATGTTTTTTGTTTGGGGGATAGAAATAAGCAAAATGAGTACTCTTCAAATGAGGATGGTTTCCATACCACATACAGATGTTTATTTTTACTTAATCCCTCCAGAATTACAGATTCTATTAGCTTACATGACACCGGAAACTCTATTAACAAAGATGATGTGCGTATCCCAGTACCATTTCCAAAATCTTTACACCCTTATACATGGGACTTAAACACTCCTCACAGTGGGAGGACTCTTCCAGATTTGCTTCAAGTGGCTGTCTTTAAAACCATGGCCATGTTCCTGTAAGCGCACACTGGAATTTGTTTAATTCACAAAGAGCAAAAAAAAATCCTACTAGCAATGTGACCTCTTGGTAAGTGCCCACTAATGGATGGAGAGAACCTTTTAAAATGGGATCAGGATTCCCAGAGATGGGATCATGGTCAAAGAGATCTATAAGACACAGAGTGAATTGATTATCAGAAATAGCCACAAACCAATAGCTTTTCCCTCAATGACCTGTATAATTTATGCAAATTGGGATCTTGGTACTTAGACCTGCTTGGAAATTGTTTATAGAAACCTGTTCTGAGCTTTTAACTCCTTCCTTTGCTAACTCTGTATTTGTTCTTAAGCAAAAATTGTTAATGAAATACATTTCATCAACCCTATACTTAATTGTACATAAAATTTCCTCTTCCCAATAAAAATTTATTTTTATATTTTATATTCTTAACTCTGTGCAATGTCATTTCAATGTGATTAAAGAGCAAACTTCAATTTTTTTGGTAGAGAGCAACTGCAACTTCATGTTGGAACTAAAGCCACATTTGATTGTCTTCACCGTGAAGGAAAAATGTATTCAACAATTTGACTCATTTTACCCCATCTCATTTTAATAACCCTTTAGTGACTAATTGGCTTTTGGTCACAGACCTTATTCTTAAGACAATTTGGTTAGAGGCATCCCTGTGTAAGGAATGGTGGAGAGTATGGTTCAGTGTTTCCTAACTGCCTGTTTCAGGCTAGCCCTACACCACCAATTCCAACCTCAACTTTCTTTTTAATGGCTGTGATGGTTTGGCAACTCTTTAATCTTTTTTGCTCCTCTTCCTCAGTGCTGGGATCAGAAATCAGAAGTTTAGATTGTTTATAGATCCACTGTGTAATTTGGGCTGGGAAATGTGGGTAGCTCTTAGGTTGAAGAGTGCTCAATTGCAGATAAACAAGCCTAACTACAAATGCCCATATCTGCTCATCTATAGTTCCTCAAACCACTGTTGGCTCTGACTAAGGATCTACAGACTAAACAAAGCCCTGCCCCGTTGGCACGAATTCATCTGCCTCTCCAAGTCATCAAAGTGGAATTCTCTAAGAAGCCACAACCACTTTCTAATAGGTCTCATTGCCATGTTTGTTCTTACTATAAACTGGAAACTGATGATCTTTGTAATAAGAATAGCCTCCTTTAAAAGTGTGTTGAAGTGTCATTATGTCAGACTGTTCCATGCTCCAGCTGTTTGCAAATAAAAACTGTTGTCACTGCAAATAGACTGGAAATAGATTTAGTTTCAACTGTTGAGTAGTAGCTGACTTATCACATTTTAGGAAGGAAAAAGCAGTATTTTTCTAAGTGTATCGGTTGGAAACCAAGATGTTTAGGTATTCTGACAATATTTGGTCAAATAAGTTTGGGAAACACAGGCCAGCCCCACCTTGGACAGTGTCAATGATCATTGTTAAGGTTCTTAGAAGTCTTGCAGTGAAGAAGCATGTTGAACTCTGTTATCACAGTGCTCCCAAACTTTTTTTCCTTTGAACATATTGTTGACTAATATCTCACAGAGTCCACTTTGGCAAAAACTAATTACAATTCAATTTGGTGGCTTTGTGTTTTAGCCGTTGACTTCACATATGGTTTTCTGTATTGATCTCCTTAAATCTTTTACTGAGAGAAGCTGGTGGCCAAATAAAATGTTGTCTGCACTAAGAATCTGATGGTCTGGAAAAAATGAAGAGCTGAAACTAATAGTTGGAAATTAGCATTGTTTACTAAATTGACTTTTTCATGAAAGTTGATATTGCTCCCCAGGATTTCAAGTAGGCAAGTGTACTAAATTCCCAAACAAGCATATTTTTCACCATGTAAACTACCTGTCAGTACGATTACTCCTGAACTAAAAATATAAGCTATTTTTGAAAGTTGACGTTTGGAACTGATTTTGAAATGAAATCCTGGGGACTCTATGAATTACAATATTTTAAAGAGGTATAATTTTAATGTGGGCAGGGTAATTCTGAAATACTTCTGTTCTGCTTTTTGGAACAGACTGCTGAGACACATCCTTTTTTAGCTTTCTGAATCATCTGTTCAGGACTTTAGAGGAATTCCAAAGGCTTTACAATACAACTAAAATTAAGCATAGAAGGATGTTACTTTAAATATATATTTTTATTAATATTTAGAGAGAGGGGAAGGGAGAGGGAGAGAGAGAAATATTTATGAGAGAGGGAAGCATTGATCACTTGCCTTCTGCACGACCAGGAATCAAACTGGCAACCTTTCAGTGCATGGGTCACCCAACCAACTGAGTCACACCAGCCAGGGCAAGAAGTTATTTTCTATCTAATTCTACTTGATTAAAATTTCCATGTCTTCTAGACAGATTCACTTTTATTTTTATGTTCTGCGTTCTAATTGCCCGGTCCAACCTTACATGTCTCCTTTCTGATGTTAAAACACACACAGATCTTGGTAAACGTTTTATTAAGTGATGAATGCTTGTAGGAAACATGGCAAGACGGGAAGAGCTGTTTGCCACACTTTTATGTCTCTGGCTCCTTCTCTGAAACCTCTTCAGGGAAATGTCTCATTTCTAAAAATAATAAACAGCATCTTATATGTGTTCTTTTTCAAAGGAAGATCTTTAAAGAGCTAAGTGTTTGCCTATATTCCCTGAGACACTGTCTGGGAGGCTTACAACCCTTCCTGGGAAATGTCTTCTCTTTTAGGCTGTATATTATTACATAGGTCATAGGCAATGGAAAGGTGGAGGGTGACCAACCATCCCAATTTGCCCAGTGCTGGGGGACAGGGTGTCCAGGAACATGAGACTTTTCAGAGCTGAAATACGGAAACTCCTGGGTAAACTGAGTCAAACAGGTCACTTTATTCAATGAATAAAATGAGTATAGAGTCATCCAGAGGGCTGGCTTACGCGGATGTAGAGTTTTCAATTGCCTTGCTTCATTCAAAAAGGCCGATTTTAGCTGAATTTGTGTCAGTCCTATTGCAAAAGTGTAGGGTAAGTTACAAGGACAAGTGAGCCTGTAAGAGAACCAGAGACATGTTAACTGTTAGTATCAGGGGTGCCGTCATCAGACAGCTTCAAGTTTACTTAGGAGGCTAAAACAAAAATTATCAAAGTGGTACCTTTAGTAATATTTTACTTTAAAAGCCAGGGAGAGAAAGCATTTTTGTTACTATGGAGTCTTTGTTTTAAATTTGCTTACTGTTTCCCTCAAAATGATATTGGAATATTGGCCTAGAGTTTTTTGTTTTAATTTTTATTTATTGATTTTTTTATTTTTAAATCCTCATCTGAAGATATGTTTTTATTGATTTCAGGGAGAGAGAGAGAGAAAGAGAGAGAGAAACATCAGTGTGAGAGAGAAACATTGATTGGTTGCCTCCTGTACATGCCCTGACCAGTAATTGAACCCACAACATTTTGGTGTATGATATGACTCTCCAACCAACTGAGTCACCCAGCCAGGACTTATTAATTGATGATTGATTTTAGAGAGAGAGGAAGGGGGGAAGGAGGAGGGGAAGAGAGAGAGAGAGAGAATGGAAGGAAGGAAGGAAGGAAGGAAGGAAGGAAGGAAGGAAGGAAGGAAGGAAGGAAGGTCAATTTGTTATTCCACTTATTTATGCATTCATTGGTTTATTCTTGTATGTGGCCCTGATCAGGGATAGAACCCACAACCTTGGGATATTGGAATGATGCTCCTAGCAACTGAGCTACCCTGCCATGGCCTGGCCTGGAGTCTTCAGCACAACATAAGCTGGGCTGCCTTGGTGTAGATAATGTCCCAACTCTATACTTTATTAGGTGTCTCTGAGATACCAGCTATAGCAATGTTTTTCAAATGAGCTCATTGCCCCACTCCCAACAAAAGAACCTGGGGTGCTTGTTGAAAATGAAGTCATTTTTCAAACCTGTAAAATCAGAATCTCTCTGGCTAAAGCCTGGGAATCTGCATTTTAAATAAGCTCCTCATGTGACTCTTAAGCACTCCTACCTGTAAAGCACTCCTACTTGACACTCTGTAAAGTTTGCAAGACTTATTTCAAATTTTATTTGCTATGAAAACAATATAACTAAAGGGAATTTTCAGAGATGAAAAAAACCCTTTAATTAATTCAATAATTATTTTTATGATATTCTTTCTAATATTTGTGCATATACACCTGCTTTCACACATTTATAACCATGACACATGCACATACACAGCTTTGCATATCCTCAATATTTTATCATGAGCCATTTTTCGTACTCTATAGCTTTACAAACGATCACCTTTCATGTTCGCATAATATTGCTTCAGGCAGATGTGCCATCATTAAGCCTACAAAAGGATTAGGATCGTAGTTTTTCCAAATGAAATCAGTTTCAGTAATTTGTCCTAGTAAATTTTAATGATGAGACTTCAGAGTGAGCTTTTTTATAGACCAGAAGGAAGAGGATATTCCAAGCAATCATTATTCCAGTGACATGATGGGCTTTGATGTCATTTGGGAGGTCATTGTACAGTTGAGCACTGATTGGCTAGGGAGGCAGGCTCATTCTGGGTGGAACTATGAGTCACAATATGCAGGATGAGGAATAGAGCATGTGGAAGAAAAGTACTTCTTATCCCTTCAGCGGGACACCAGTCCCACTTTCTGAACAGTCTTTGCTTTGTAACTTCCCTGGCCTATTGCTACTCATTCTTCGTATCTCAG